GGGGGGGGAGGGGACTGTCTCAGGCTTGTGAATACATGGCCACTGTCCTCAAACACTACTTTATCTTTGTGCATTAATCCTGTCCAGCTCCCATACCATTTAATCTGGACCACTAATGTGCTGAGTACTTTGTCCCTGGTAATAATTTATAATTAATTCGATCTCCACCAAGACACTCCTGAAGAGATCTGTCTGAACCATCAGGATCCCCATAGCATCTAGCAGAGTTCCTGGCACACAGCACGTGTTCAGGATGGTTATGTTGGTGGGGAGATTGGAGGGATTATAGGTGTGTGGGGAGAGGAAAGGGGGAGTTGGACCTTCTCCATCTCTATAGAATTTAAATGCATAATTGAAACTGAACCTGCTGAAAACTTCCTGAAACTCCAAGCTTAACCTCCAAGGCCCAACGTGTCCCTAGAGCCAATCCCTTCCCCTGCCTGGACCATCCCCCGCCTTCTCTAAGGGGATCCTTCAAGCAAGGGGGACCAGGAGGCAGAGGCTACCCTTCTATAAATGAGTCCCAGATAGCCATAGTAAAAGACTCAAGCCTCCCTCTCCTTAATTGTCTGAGCCACCATTTTACTCTCTAGTGAAATATATTCAGGACTCCAAGTTGAGTCTGGTGAAGTACATACTCCAGTGACGAGGAACACCCATTGTGATGGGGATCAGATCACTGCCAAAGGGAAGCAGCAAAGGTGCCAGAGAAAGGAGGGACACAGCGACTCTGAAGACCAGGATCAGTGTGAAGCACACAACAGATGGATTTCTAGGGGGTCAGGCAGAATCAAGAAGCCCTCTGCAAATGTTGTGTTTGTTGAGGGGCCTGGAGCTGCCTGTTGCAAAAGGGAAATTGGCCCAGAGAAAGAAGACTTCAGCAGCCCAATTCCTGCCCCAGTGTAGGTAATCTCCAGAAACTAGATAAGAGGGAGGCAATCTCCACATCTACCAGGTCACTGAAGGAGGAAAAACAAAAGAGGGCAGGAATATTTTGATAAGACTAATTCCCTTTGGCTGTGCAGAAGCAGCAGAAACCTCACCTGGGATGGTGAGTGACTTTCTTTTAATCAAGCAGAGTGTATTCATAGCTTTTCTTCTGGATGTCCTAGTGCTTTCAACCTGGCTTTCTCACCCAGTAATAAATGTTTAAGTGGGAAGGAAGCTAAAGAGAAGGTAGAAAAGAGACAGAAAGGGTGAAGGAAAATGGGGAACAACACCTAGGCCAGCAGAGTAGTAAGTTTTTGTGGATTTCCTCTGGTGAATATTGAACTAGCAGTTGCAATTTTTAAACTTTGAAAAATTCCTTAAACACTTGTCAATCTTCCCTCATGTGGGGTTAGCATCACCTCCAGAAGGCCAAGCATGTGTGTGGAGGGGTACTGTAAAGTTGTACTGAGACCAACTTCATCTTTTTAATATTATAGTCACTTCTCCTGTGAAGAAAAATACTGTATGTATAGCATTGCCTAGGCTTTATAGAATATGTGTGATATGACTTTAGGGTGGTTTATAACAGTAATCCCCAAATCCCTCTCATCAGCCTAATCCAGGGGGTAATGCAGATTTCCAGGCCTTGTCCAGACCTGCAGAATTGGGGAGGAAAAAAGTGAGGGGGGGAACCTGTGCATAAGAAAAATATACAGCAAGATGCATTTGTATATGGATGAAGCAATTGGAAAGGATTGATATTTCCCCTTGAGTTAAGTGTCCCGCTGAGCTTCTCGGAGTTTCTTCCGAAGTGAGGGTTAGCGTCCGCTCCCTCCCTCTTCAGTGCTCCAAACAGTAGTCGGGGCTCACCAGGCCTCAGGGTCTCCTAGCGTTGGAGGAAGCTCAGACCCGGTGAGCAAGACCACCCTCCACCCCAAACTTTGAAACCTTCTCACTCTTGGCTATCCCGACCCTCTTAAGTCACAGGGAAATCATTTCCCTTTCCCGAAGGGCATCAGTTGCCTCATAACTTCCGGGAGGCGCAGGTGGGAACACACATGTCCCTCATACCGCCCAAAAAAGAGCAGAAACGAGATTAATACAGCCGAACTAGAACTAGCGGGACGTCCCGGGGAAAGAGAGAATCTTCTCGGCTCGTCCGCCCCCAGGAGGCCAGACTTGGGACTTGTCACTTAGAAAATTCCCTCCGTCTACGTTTCCCTTCGGAAGACGCGCCCCCAGAAGGGCCGCCTGCCCGGGGAAATGCCCCCTTCCTTTGGCAGCTAGTCAGAGACCCTTGAGAGCGAGACTGAAGAAAAGACGCCTCCTTCGGTGCCAGGAAGACGGGAAAGGGAAAGATGGGGCGATGAAGGCCAAAGGCTCCAAGTCCCTCCGCAGGCGGCAGCTCCGAAGGCGTCGTCTGGCGGCCCGAAGTCGCAGCCGGGCTGGGCAGGGGCCAAAGCGCCGCCCGCAGGAGGAGAAGGCGCGGGGCGCTGGGGGAGTGAGGCCCCGAGCGGGGCGCAGCTTGCCCGGGCTCCTGAGCCGCGCCCAGACGCCGGTGGGAGCGGCCCCGCCACCCGCGCGCGAAACCCTGCCGCTGCCCCTCTAAGACCTTTACCTGCTGCCCTCGGAGAACGTGTAAGAGCAGCAGGCCACGGTGCCCCCCGGAAATCCGTCTGTCCTACCTCCTTGCTCTCAGGCTTCTCTGGCAAGCGGTAAAGGGAAGGGGGACATTCCTTCCGACCCTGATGCCTCTTTCAGACACACACACACACACACACACACACACACACACACCCCAGTGCTGCAGAGGCGGCCGGGTTTGCTCGCCCAGTCCGACATTTCCAGTCCCTGGGAACGCGCGTCTCCCCATAGTACAGGCAGGGAAACTGAGGCCTAGAGAGGGACAAAGACACCCACAGACAGCTAGGACAAGAGCTTGGGGCAAGAAGCTTAAACAAACCTTTCCCGGATCGAGCCTGCGGACTCGCTTGGGTTTCCCCTGGGGCGGTCCCCAGATAATAATAGATACCATTTGTTGAAGGCTTTACGGGCATAAACTCACTGAATTCCCACAAGACAAAGAAGGCAGGTAAGATTGCCCCCCATTTTACAGGTGAGGAAACTGACGGCTTGTGATTGAAATGAAACAACCTGTCCCCCGCCTTACTGCGAATAAAATCGCCCAGCCCAAATTTCCCGTCGGTGCCCCTCGCGTAAGGTACAAACCACCCACCCAGCCGCGGCGCATTTATCTCTGGAGTTTGCCTTGCTACCCCGCCTTCCGCACAGGGCTCTCGAGCCCCTGGGCATCCCGGCTGACAAAGGAGCATGGGCGCAAGTTGCGTCCGACGGCAGGCAATAGAAGGGAGAGAGGAGGGGAAAAGGGTTCTGAAAAGTTCTAATGCGTGGGCTGGATGCGCATCCCCGGGGCCAGATACCGACACGCGTCTTTCCCGGCAGTTCCAGACCGGGCGCGCGAGCGTGGTGCTAACTCCAGCCCTGGCTCTGCCGCGCTTGCTATGTGACCTCCAGTCAGCCGCTTCTCCCAGTCCTAGCCGAGGTCTTAGAGCTCCGGCGCCTGCAGAGTCGCCTACTTGATATAGACTAAACAAGACTTTCCGGGGATGCCTGCGACACCCATCAGAGGGCAGAAATCTGTACACCTGCGGATGCACTTTCATAGAGGAAGACCATATGGCCTTGGCATGACCAACGACATCTAAAAACTAAAATTACTCTGAGCTGGAAGAATACAGTTGGAGACATAGCCGGAAAGGCTCTCCCAATCCGAGGCTGTCCTGGGGCGCGACCCATACCCCACCCTTGGCCCTTCCCCCACAGTCCTCCAACCTTCTTGCTTGGAGTCTGATCAGCGAAGGGCCCTCGCTCCTGCTGCGGAAGGAGGCTCCAGGATGCGAGAAGGGAGCATCCCGCTGTTTAGAAATTAGTATCTCGGGGCGCCTGGGTGGCTCAGTCGTTAAGCGTCTGCCTTCGGCTCAGGTCATGATCCCAGGGTCCAAGGATCGAGCCCCATATCGGGCTCCCTGCTCAGCTGGAAGCCTGCTTCTCCCTCTCCCACTCCCCCTGCTTGTGTTCCCTCTCTCGCTGTCTCTCTCTCTGTGTGTCAAATAAATAAATAAAATCTTTAAAAAAAAAAGTATCTCTTCAGTAGTGCAAACTCAAAAGGAAGAAACTGAGGCCTGCGGGAATTTGGAGGCGAAGAGAGGGAGACATAGGCCTCCTTGCTGAGAGGAAAGTAGGAGAAGAAAGTGGAAGTTTTGCAGAGGAGCTCGAGATGCCTGGGTCACAAAAAGTTCACACTTGTATTTTCTTTGAAGCACAGTCCATTAGATATTTACGCACCGTTTGACCCTTCGAGGTCTTTGTTGGCCACCGAGATGCGAGATGAGTGTGATGTGAGCGTGCAAATATGTTTGTATAAAGGAAGAGTGGATGAATGTTTGTGGGCCTGGGTAGTACATAGGAGTGTGTGCCAGTGACAGCGCGCACTTGGGTGCATGTGTGCGCATGTGCTAGAGCAGGATTGTCTCACACCAGCGTGAGTACACGTGAGCATGTGTAAAGTGCGTGCATGTGTTACGTGTAGATGTGTCTCATTTATGTGAGTGTGCGTGTGCAGAAATACTATGTGTGCAAGAGCATCGTACACTTGTGTATGAGCCTGAGCTTACACGTGGTTCGTTGGTCCATGTGTGCATGTGAAACCCAGCAAAGAAGTCCCCAAAATCTCAGGTCCCATCAAAGGAACGGCACAGGCAGGAATGCGGACCGAGCACCCCAAGGCAGGAGTCGAAGTGCTGCTCCTTCGGCCTGCAGGTAGCAGGGAGCCGCCTACCGGGCGCGGGACTGGCCAGGAGGCCGTGGGTTAGCGCCCAGCTCGGCTCCGGGCAGGCGAGGCAGGTTCCCGCTGGGGCCCACAAATTACGCGGACTGCGCTCGCAATGATCCCTGCCTGGCAGTTCCGAGCTCTTAATTGTTCCTCGCGGACAGTTTCTGATTATTGATGCCGTGCGCCCTACAAGAGACCGCTTCCGGGTTATTTGCTTATGTTTTTACTATCTTTATCACCGTCATTATTTCGTGCCTGTATGAAGATGGTGCCAAACCCACCGACACAGCCCTACCCCGCCCCTCGGTGGCTGCCCCCGGCGTGCCGTAACCCCCGGACGCCTGATTCTTGCCTTACGTGGAGCCACAGCGACACCTCGCGATCCCCCAGCCTCCCTCCCGTCACTGCCACCCAAGGCGGAGCCTTTCCTGGTCCAGGTCCCCAAATTCCCAGTACTGGAAGATTTTCCATTCGCATTCACCATTCCTCTTTCCCTCACTAGAACGTTTCACTTGGCTGGAGCCTTGAGATTCCCCAGACATACCTTGCTGAGCACCTTTGTACATGACCGGAATGCCTACACCCTTCTCCACCTAGAGAAATCCCTCTCTCTTTTAAATCCCCAGCACAAAAGTTCACCTCTTTCACGAAACCTTTCCAAACCCGGTCTAGGCAGTCATTCGTGCCTTTCCCTGATTTCCCTGGTGCTCATATCACATTGGACAGGAAATCTTGTTCAGATGTCTCTTTCCCCTTCCTAATCAGAGAGCTCACCTACAGTATTTTTTGCGTATAGCAACAATAGTAACAATAAAACCTGATAATAACCGAACGCACCCTATGGAGCATCTTATGCAATGTGCTATGCTAAGCACCTTATTATATCGCTTAATTTTCCCGGCAAAACCGTGAAGTAAACATCAATATAATTCCCCAGTATGCAAATGGGGCTCTAGAGTTCCTATCTAAGGTTGCATTGCAGAGCCCAACCCAAGTCTGTCTGTCTGATTTTTCTTAATCTCTTTTCTTAAACTCTGTGCCTTGCAGACTTATTCAGCTCTATATCCACAGGCTTTAGACAGGACAAGGGACAGAGCGGACATTCATATATTTGTGAATAAATGAACCACAGCCAACATAATTTTTTTCTTCTCCAAGAGAGTTGGGCTAGAAAAACACTGCACTTATCAGATACCTTGATTGAAATGTTACCACAATGATTTATCCCAAAGGAGTGTTCCACTACTAATGAGCCTGATGACCTTGGTCAAGTCGCTTCATCCTCAATTTCCTCATTTTTAGAAGTAGGTTTGCTGTATTAAATGAGGAAAAAATGTGCGAGGTACTTGATATAAGTCCTTGCACTACAATCAATACTCAGTAAAAGTTGGCTATTCATATAATTATTAATGATAATTTTAAAAACTAAGGCACGGAACACAAAACTGACTTACCCCTAGTCACATAGAATTCACCATACCTCTGTATAAAATTATCTCATTATTATATCTTCATTTTCATCTTGGACATAAAATATGTAATAAAATATGTTTAGTTTATTGTGGCCGGGGTGTTAATATTAACCCTGCTCTGTTATAAAATTTTAAGGGGCAGGGGGGAAAGATATAATTAAACAGTAAATCAGCAGGCTTTGACTCTCACCCTTTCTTCCTGCTTTGTAGCTTTTTACCAAGAAAGATTTAAAGAAAGACTATAAAAGTGCTTATTATTCTGGAAAGTACAAAACTCTATTTTTTAATTCAGGGGACATTCTGAGCTAGTTTGAGTTTTCCTCCACTTGAAGCACTTTGCTGCTAGTAATATACCAAAAGTTTAAAAATATGTATCTAAGCAAATGATTGTACCCAAATAAAAAACAAATGAAGATTGCTTAAACATATTCCAGACATCAGACATTTCCCAAAAAGGCTAACTTTTAGAGGTTCAGGGTCTCTTTTTGGAGTGACTCGTTAAATAATTACTGCTATTAGCAGTTTAGGTGAAAATGAACTTTTCTGTTTGGTCAGACTATAAATTTCCTACTATCAAATTATTTTAGAAAGACTATTGACCAGTATAGTTATGTCATAAAGAAATGGAAAGTGTCTGAAAAAATCCACAAAAGGCATAAATGTGCCTCCCCACTTAGCTGGCCCACAGTGCATTTCCAGAAACTTTATCCCAGCCCTAATTTATTTTAATTCATTTATACCTGCTTCCCATTCTTGCAATGCTCTTGTATGCAGATGAAGAAACAAATTCAGGAAACTTTACCTGCGGCAACTTAATGTGTTAAGATTTTATTGTATAGATGACAGATATTTTATCCTTGATTGGGGATTTGAGTCATGTTGACGGTGAGACACTGTGTTTTTGACAGTTTGTGGAGGGGGCATGTCTGTTCTGTTTTCTTTTCTTCTTTATTTCTACAATGGTAGCCATTAGAGATGTTCACCAAAATTATGGCTTTCCTTCTTCCAGGTGAATGGTAAGAGTAGAGTATTCTGGTTCTTCTGCGTTTAGACGCGACCCTGTGGCTCACTTCGATAAATGAGGAATCATCAGGAATATGTGTTATTTAGAGACAAAACTTTAAGAACCAATGTGCAATTCACCAAATCCCCTTCAGTGTGCCACAGCTGCGGGTGACCCCCATATGGAGTTTCCTTCAGCCTGCCACTCTTCACAAAGATAATGTGGAGTAGAGACCCCTCCAACCACAGTGAACATTGAACATGAATGTGAAATAATCTTTTGTTCCTGTAAGTCCCAGAGATTTTTTTATGGTAGCATAACTGAGCCTTTCCTGACTAATATGCCTAGGAAGGTATCTCATCTTTCCTTTCCTTTCCTTTCCTTTCCTTTCCTTTCTTTCTTTTTTTCTTTCTTTCTCTTTCTTTTTCTTTCTTTCTTTCTCTTTCTTTTTCTTTCTTTGTTTCTTTCTTTCTTTCTTTCTTTCTTTTCTTTCTTTCTTTCTTTCTTTCTTTCTTTCTTTCTTTCTTTCTTTCTTTCTTTCTTTCTTTCTTTCTTTCTTTCTTTCTTTCACAATGTTAAAATTCTTCTCCCAGAGTGAAAGATTTCCATATCTAATTAAATAATCAGATAATGGCATTAATTGAACTAGAAACCTATGTCTTGTTTTCTTACTCATTTCATACATTTCCTGTGGGTCAAAGCATCACTTAGAAAACTCTGAAATGGGCAAAACAACTGAATTTTAGAAGTGCTGAAAAGGAATCTCAGAATCATTGTTGGACCTCCCCAGGAATTTCTGGGGGGCCCTTTGCCTGCCTGCAGATACACAGTGAAGGGTGTGCCAAAGGCTCTGATTCAAAGAGATCTTATTAGTGATTGTATGAGGGTACAGAGAAACATCACTTCCTTCAGTGTGTTCATTTCCAGAACTTCAGGATGGTGAAAGGGAAAAATATTTGGCGATCAACATATATTTAAGACCTAGGGCAAGTTATTTAATTTTTCTAGACCTTGTTTTCTTCATCTGGAAAATAACAGTGTGAGACAAGATCATCTTCAGGATGCCATCCAGTTCTACTAAGCTGGAATTCTGAGATATTTGAGTGATAGCAGTTTCAGGAGTTGATTCAACAGTATAAGAATATTCTTGTGTTTCTATCCTCAGCACTATTTTGTGGAACATTTTCAATTTTTTCATGCTGATCCCAACTTAAAACAACTGCTTCTTGGGCAGGAATTAGATAGTGCTTTTTTTCTTCAACCTCAAATTTTTTAGAAAAGTGGGCCATATAGATTCAGAGCCATGTAAAATGCTTTGTCACTTCCTAGCCAAGAGGGGAATTTTGCTTTTTTATTCGAGAACTATTCTCTTCAGATTTCATTATCAGACTACCTAAGGAAATTTGTGAATTTTCAGGAAACTTGCATGACCAAATACTGATTGTGTGATGCATGCTGTAAGGTGCCATTGTTACTATCTGTTCATTACCTGTAGGGTGGGTATGACTGATTGCCAGAAACAATACTATTACCTTCATTTGGATAATAATTTACAGTTGACAGAGAGGTTTCACATCAGTTATTGCCTTGATTTCCTCTCAATGAACCATGAAACTGACATTCCTCCCCCATTTCACAGAGGAGGAGCTGAGGTTTAGATTTGCCCATGCCATGTGGCTAGCAAGCAGCAGGCTTTGGCTGTAACCCAAGAGCCACAGCTGCCTATGAAATTAAGAAAGCTGTCTGCAACTTTACTGGGGAATAGAAAGTGTTGAAACCAGGCCACAGGGCACTCCTTTACAGAAAGATGCAGACATTATTTCTGTCAATCAACTCCTGGTTTCTCTCTTGTCTGGGCACCCAAAAAGATTATAGTCCTCTCCTTGAACTTAGGTGTGGTTATCTGACTTACCTGAGCCACAGCATTGACTTAAAGGTAAGAGAACCCCCAGAGGACTCACTCTCCTCAACCAGGGGGTTATTGAAGGTCACTCCATCAGTGTGAGTCCTGCTGTCATGATCACAATGAACATAGTTCTTTAGCAATATGCAACCCCTTTAATGTAAGCAAGTGGTTTAAGCCAGTAGGACTTGGGGCTTGTTTGTTATTGCAGCTTTCCATAGTCTGTCCTGGCTGGTACAGTTTCCTAATTCAAATTTAAATATTTTGTAAAAGAGAGCTATCTCTGTTGGGTGGACTCTTATAAACTTGAGTTATATACACATACCTTTTAGAAAGAAAATATTCTTCTGGATCTCTCATGTCTTTATTTACATTCATTTCAGTAGGGTAAACAGGTGATGGGTCTTAAGGAGGGCACGTGTTGTGATGAGCACTGGGTGTTATGTGCAACTGATGGACTGTTGAACACCACATCAAAAACTTATGATGTACTATATGCTGGCTAACTGAACATAATAAAAAAAAAAGAAAAATGGAGAAAAAAATTCATTTTACTATTTTACTTAAATATGCATAAGCATAAACCTAGGGACACATTCTTTATGCAGATAGCATTTGAACCACTGTGAAACCAAATTACAAAATTAATGAAAAAGAAAAACTGAACAAAACCAAAGATTTATAAATGAAAAATAATAACATGTGCTGGATAACATTTTGTAGAAACTAAATTGCCACTTAAATATCAACATGGTTCTGAGTTCAGTAAAGTAGGTTCTTTTGAAAGTGGCCTGTCTATATAATTATGTCCTGTGCAATGTCTCAATTCCTCTACCACTTTTCTCTTTTTCTTTAAATTACCTCAAAGCATTCCTGAATTCATATGGGGTGGGAAAAGCTTAAAGGAGTCATTTTAGTATCAAATCCGCCTTTGTCCTTTTTTATCAGCCTATGACAATTAGGAATCACTGTTGGCTCCAATAAACCCAAACTAAAATTTGAGCTTGGAAATTTTGTGTCAGTACTCAGTTTTAAGGTAATTATCCAGCTAAGTCTGACTGTGCTTAACCTTTTAAATGACTTCTCTGTAATGACTTAGCTGTACTTAACAGTTGTTTTGAGGAACAAAGAGGATAGAGTGAATGGAAGACACTTGGGCAGTACCAGTCTGTGGAGAACTGCTGTATATTTTCCTTCCGGGCCACCGGTAGACTGAATTTCTCAGCTTCCCTAGCAGCTGCTCTGGCTATATGGCTGAGTTCTGGTCAACAAAATATAGGTGGGATTGATGGAAGCCATTTCCAGACATATGTTCATTAAAAACCTCCCACACAGTCTTTCACTCCTTTTCTTCTCCCTTCTGCAGGTTGAATCAGAAAATCCAAGACAATATTCCAACGCTCTAGGGCAAGGCTCAGCAAATATTTTCTGTAAAGATCCTGATAGGCAATATTTTAAGATTCATGAGCCATAGAGTCCCTGTTGCAAGTACTCCACTCTGCCATCTTAGTGTGAGAGCAGCTACAAAGCACAGGTTATACATGATGAATGATTAAGGCTGTGTTCCAATAAAACTTTATTTACAAAAAAAAGTTTACAAAAACTGTAGATCAAATTTGGTCCATGAGCCATCGTTGGCTGACCCTGCTCTAGAATATGTCAGAATCACAAGGTAGAAGGAATCTGGTCCTTAAATGACTGCATGAGGAAATAAACTTTATACAAGCAAGAAATGAACTTCTATTATGTCAAGTCATTGAGATTTAAGGGTGTTTCAGCATTAGCTGAATACTCCAATATTGTTGGAGGAGGTCATTGAGGGGACGTGACCTCAGGTTGACCCATGAGCTGGACCTAGGCAATCAGAGCCTCCTCATCCCCTCCCCTGCACTTCAATTATACATTTTGCCTACCATTCCCGCAATGGGAACTGTTTTCAAGGATACAGCCTTGAAATTTTCAAGTTTAGGGTGGGCAGGTGCAGAGATTTACTTGTCTTGTTACCTCCCAAGACAAGCTTCATGTGTAAGTTCCCTTGCTTATGAAACCTGCCACCTAGCAATCCAAGAGTGCTGCCACCAACCAAGAGTAGTCTGCCTCTTTCTTCAGCTTCTCCTCGCCCAGCATGTGTGGGGGGCCAGTGCTAGATTTCACTCAGAACGCTCCTGAGGTTTCAAACCAACCGATATAATACCCGATCACATAGATGGCTTTCTATAAATATTAGATTTATAGAAATTCCCTTCTTCCCCACGTCCCTCCAAAGATAGGCTTATTCGTTTGTCATAGAACCTTCCCAATACATGTTAGTGGGATAAATAAGATACCATCGGATAAATAATCCTCAATGTGGAGCATGTGTGTCATGCAATGTCTATGATATTCCCAGTTGTCACTGTCACGTCTCTCCATCCCACCACCTAAATGCACCTAGAGGCATATCTGAATTGTTTTGTGCCCCCTTCCAAATAACCACACATTTGGGAGACAGTTTGCTTGGGTAGAGTGAATAGAGCTTGGCTGATTGGTTCAATTTCTGTGAACCATTCGCTCCCCCTTACATTCAGTCTCTGGAACATGTTGCAAAGTCAGCTCTGGGTTGTTGCTCAGCTACTATGTAATAGCACTCTACAGCTTGTCACCTACAAACCTGCCAGTACACCGCCATTACAGTTTGGTATTTTTACTCCTAATTTATAATCAGGGAGCCTAAGACTCAGAGGGGTTAAAGAACTCTTGCAAAGTCATATGTTGGCAATATCATAAACCTAGGCCTGCCTGAGTCCCAAACATCATGCTACCAAAAATTGGATTCTGCAGCCTCTGGAATCTTATCCGCCTTCCCTACTTGAAATGTATTTGTTGGGGAACAATTAACCTCAGGATGAGTAATTTGTCACCGTTCTGTGTGTGTTTCAAATTTTCCCATTACACAAGGAAAATGAGAAAAATATGTCCTAGATAACACAGAGGAAAATGCTTCATTGTCTTAATTGCCTTTCTATTTCAATCAAGGAAGGCATTTAATTATTTCTGAACTATATTCAAAACTCCCTCTCAAGAATATTACTCTCCCCAGGTGAGTTAACCAAATCTGTGCAAAATATTTCTCAAGTCTGAATATTAATATCATTTATTGAGTATTTTTATATGTCAATGACTATTTAAATTCTCTCCATTTATGAACTCATATATTCCCCACAGCAAATCTATGAAGAGGAGATAGTCATTCTCCTGGAACAAAGGAGGAAACTGAGATACAGAGAAGTTAGAGAGTTTGTCCAAGTTCCAAAAGCAGTAAGTGGTAAAATCATCATTCCATCCTAGGCCACCCCCGGAGGCCATATTCCTCCCTTCACCCCCCTGCTGTGCTAACTCTGAAGAGAGAGGTATTTCCCCCTTTGAGAATATGTGCAAAGCCAATGTGGAAAACTCATGCAAGATGACTTGAGTCAGCTACTCAAGGTCCATTCAGAACCTCAAGCCTCTAGAATTTGAGGTGGATCATCTACAGTCTATGGAGTCAAGAGGGGCAGAATCTGTCCGGCTTCTTGCACGACCTGAGGCAAGAAGCCCTTGTTGTTCCTGAACACCACTGCCCTGGGCCCTGAAAATGCCCACATGACATTCACTCAGTCCCCTACTTTATCCTCATCATCGCCATTGGAAACCACAGGGAGAGGAAAACCTTTTCCATGATATGTACTTTACGGCCGTTATTCTTACTTCACTGGTAAAAAATAAAGAACAAGCAACTCGGTCTTTATACTCTAATACTGAACGGCATGAGCATGTGTGTTTTATTAGTAAGAAAAAGAAAATATTTTCTGGTATGATGGACTGTACCCTTTGAAAAGCATACACTATAAAACAGAATAGAGACGGGATTTTGAAATGTGTGGCCATGTCGGTAGGAAAGCTGATACTTGAGATTGCTCCAATTGTTTAAACTTGACAATAGGTAAGCTGAGGACAGTAAGAGGACACTTACATCTTCAGACCAAAATATTTTATAATTTGGGTTAAAAAATAAAAATAAAAAATGTTGGGTCTTCACAGTAGTCTTAGTCTTGATTTTTTAAAAACCATTTAAAAGATTTATTTATTTATTTATTTATCTGGGGGGAGACAGAGGGAAAGGGAGACAAGCAGACTCCCCACTGAGCAGGGAGCCTGTCATGGGACTCAATCCCACAACCCAGAGATTGTGACCTGATTCGAAAGCAAGAGTCAGACGCTTAACCAACTGAGCCACCCAGGTGCCCCCTATTTTTAACCATTTTATTGAAAATATTCTATTTCATTAACTTTGCATAAGGGCATATATGAGAAAACATTGATGTTTTTCAAATATGAAATACAGCCTCCATTCCTAATCAACAAGTGCAATTGTGGATTCTTGTGTCTTTGAAGGCTTCTATTCACAAGTCTAATCACCTGTTCCAATGAACCTATTTTATCTCCAGGAAACATGGTAACACTTAAAAAGACTGTATAAGCTCAGCTTCTTACATTAAGATTTGTGAAAATCATACGGCCTTGAGATATGCAAGCAGATGGTTAGTAAAGACTTGAACCATATTCTTAAACACCTGGAATTAGGTAAACCATCTAAACAAAGTTCATTTTCTCTTCATTTTCCTTGGTCCATACTAGTCCATGGCCATGTGTACAGCGTATAGTCCTTCACAAGCATTTACACACTCCAATTTCATTATGTCCTGGAAAGACCATAGACATGTTTGAGGATGTGAGAGGCTAAAAATAGTATCATTGAGTTTCCATTTTCCAATCACGGCAGCTGTCATTCAGATCAACACCTCAACACCTCCTTCCCCTGCCCCACCCGATCCCTCCACCACCGGTTCAAATAGTTTTTAGATCTCCTGAAGAAACAAACAAACAAAAAAAACTGAAATGCCAAAACAACAGTGGGGAGTTTCTAGGCCAGTTTTTGAAGAAACACCTGTAACCAGAGAGATTAGTGGACCACTGGACACGACAACACTTATGCCCCAAAGCATTTCTGGCTCCTGCTCACTTGGGCTTCTGCACAGGGGCTGCATGGGGGGATGAGCCGCAGTGGTCAAGGCTCAGAGCCAATCCAAGGAGGGAAATTTTCAGGAAACCTCTTCACAGTAAACTTGGATTTCAAAGAGATACATTATCAACGTCAGAGCAAAGTTAGTCTAAACCTATTCCACTTCCCCCAAAGCCGGGAGACTTTTGGCCCCAGACTGGCCATCAGGAGGATTTATCCTCAGATACTCACAGCCTGAGTTGGTTAAGGAATCTTAAATTGTGAAATAGTGGTAGCCGACTGGTAAGGCATCCAGGAACTCGACTGAGCAACCCCGAAGCATCTCAGGGACAGGTAGACCTGTGCCAGGCCTTGGTTATCCCTACAAGTACATTGCAAAGGGAAAGAAGGCAAGC